ATACATTTCGATTTATAACCTTTATAATCTGTTTTTATAAAATTTAAAAATTTGACATTTGACGGTGACACAGATTCTCCTATTGTTTCATAGATGGAGCTCTATAAAAATATTTGATTTAAATCATTTTAAGATAATAATAATTATTTGTCGTAGAAAAAGTATAGTATGCACCTCGTTTATAAACTTTTCTATACACTCATTAAATTCGTGTATAAAATGGCGTTTATCAAACTTGATACATAATATACTATTTTTTAGAATAACTGCATAATTATATAAAAATTTACATTAAATTAATTGATGAAGTTATTTAGTAAATGAATGTAAAATAAAGTCGAATTTTGCGGATCTAGTATAGAGAATATTCAGGGTTTTGTTTCGGCCAAAATAACAATACAGTGAGATGCAAGTCATCGTAATGTCGTAACCACTAATGGCGTGTTACTGCATGTTGACGCATTTTCCCCTTCACACCCTGAACTGAGCACAAACGTACAATAATCCACAAGTTTTGAGGAAAACTTTTAAGAACTAACTAAACAAACCAGCCGGCTAAACAACCGTTGTGGATCACATTTCTATTTCGCAATTTTATTGATCCTATTTTAAATTTTCATAAACTTTTAGATATTCTTTCTTATTACATCCATCCTTTTAAATACACATTGACAGGTTGTGGCTTTACGGGCTAAAGTTAGCAACAGGTTTTTAGTCACCGGCTGAAGTTAGCTTTATAGCTTCTGTAAAAAAATTTAAACCTATCAAACCATTCATCTAAAGTTTTGAATAAACTTCTGGTGCTGGTGACAATACAATCTAGTATACTCAATATTATTATTTGTTCAAAATGGCCGCCTATCAAAATGACTTTGGTATCAAATATATTAATTAGATATATTAGATTTGTAGTATCTGCATGAATGAAAGTTGTAAGTAATATAAAGTAAATATTTAATGTAATTTGTGTTTGAATGTACACATCTAGGTAAGTAAGTAGGTAAATCCATTTAATCCCCAATAAAGTATAAACTGATATAGGTCATGTTTAATATTGCCACTAGGTTGTAAGAATTTCTGTGCGCATTACATTTATTTCACCGCAATCTCAAAGTTAGTTTATCACTCTGCTAGTTAGGGGGTATATTAAAATAATTTTGTGCGCTAACTTGCAATTTTCAGATTTAATATGTTTACCAAGCCTTTTATTTACTTTAATAATGCGCACAGCCCAAATTAAAATTGGTGATTTGTACAAAATATATGCACATAGATAATTTAATGTTTTAATTTTGTTTGGCACTTGAGAAATATTTTATGTTTATGTGTACGATATTTGAAAACATTTCTAAGTTTGACATCTGAAAAATTTATTTTTCACTTTAATACAACTTCAAGAAAGGCAAATAAAAGTCAGTAAATTAAATTTTCCTTGAACCAACAAAAATAAAATAATTGCAAACATACTGAAGGTTATAAATTATTTACCTTTTCGTATAAATATAAAAAAGAAATTTTTATTTATATGAAAAAATAATCATTTACATGAGTGTATTTATTAATTATCAATTTGTGTAGAGATTAACGTTAAAATATGAATAGCACAAATATACAGCATAAAGTTTTATTTAGCACAAGTCAATTTAGATTGCATTGTCTTAAGAATGACTCGAATAGTCAAGTTACCTAGTTCGCAAGTACAAATATTAAATCTTAACAAACCATTGTAAAAATTCGCCACATAAATTACCAGTTCATTTCTAGTCGAGACTTTCTTAAAGTAAACCCTTTAAAATTATTTGCGGAGCTTAACAATGTTATGCATTAGAGCAGCTATTGTGAATTAACTGTCATTTGTTTAAATAGCTGTAGTAAGCAGACTAGATAGATTACTCTAGTGAGGAAAATGAGTGAGAATTTACACTGCGAATCATTAATATAACGTATAAAGTCATTATGTCATTTAAATATAATTATTGCGCGATTTTAACCGGATGTGTTTTAAATTGTAGATCTTAATAATTAACTTTATTTTTGGAGAAAAACACCATATTTTTACTAAATACAAGGCCTAAAAATACTGGTTAAAATCACACAATATTTAAAGATTTTACAGGGGTGAGGCGCAAACAAATGGGTCACACTGTATATGATTTTTTATTTCCCCTAATTACTTAAAAAAACATTTTCTTGTCGATTTAAAATACACTTAAACAACATATTTATACAGATAAATACCCAAATGTCTAAAACATAAGCAGTTCATTAATTTTCCTATAATGGTCTTAAAATACCCATTAGGGTATTGCGATCATCATAATTTTTTCCATAAAAATAATAAGAAATTTGTTTTCATTTGAATGAATTTTTGTGCTTAAAAAACATATACGAGGTGTGTTCAGAAATTTACGGAAATTGTTAAATTTCGCGGGTTCGGAGGGTCCGGTTGTCATAAAATTTTCTTTATTATGTTGGTATACATGCCCTCGAAGTATGATAAAAACTTTAGCTGTTTTCATTGTTTACTTTGTCTGTGGCAGCCGCTAAGGTTAGACGTGTTTTATGAGCTCGGCTATTTTTCGTTCGTGAAAAGAAATGGATCAAAGAATTTGTATCCAATTTTGCTTAAAGAAATAAAATAAATTCTGTGAAATGTTAACAAAGTACTATAGTGAGTCTGCTATAAGTAAAACAAGAGTTTACAAGTGGTATAAGAGTTTCCAAGATGGCTGTGAAGACGTTGAAGATGACGAACGCCCCGAACGCACAAGCTCATTAACAATCGATAAAAACATGGAAAAAGTGGAAGAAATGGTTATAAACCATCAGAGAAGTCGCTGATGATGTTGGTATATCGATTGTCTCATCCCATGAAATTTTTTCGAATGTTTTGGGTATGAAACGCGTGGCAGCAAAATTTGTTCTAAAATTGTTAAATTTTGAACAAAATTTTTGGCCAAAAACAATAATGTAATGATGCCCTAGCCTCCATATTCGCCAGACATGCCTCTGTCTGACTTTTTCCTATTCCCAAAAATAAAGAGATCATTAAAGGGCCGTCGTTTTGCAAGCATAGATGACATTAAAAGCGCATCGCTGAAAGAACTAAAGGCTATCGAGTTTTAGAAGTGTTTCGAGTATTAGAAGAAGAGCTGGCACATGTGCATAATATCCAATGGGGACTATTTTGAAGGCGACAACATTAATGTAGACAAATAAATAAATATTTGTTTCAAAAAACGAAAATTCCCGATATTTTCTGAACACACCTCGTACATACACAAAAAAGTTTATCACCCACTATAACTATAGTTATAACGCATATATGCGTTGTAAAATCACTGAGAATTAAGAATATATATGCGATATTACATTGTAATAACACTAACAATTTGTATTATAATTTCTATTTCAAATTTCATAAAACAAAACCACTACAAAAATGTATAAAGCACCTGTGCCAATATATGTTATTAACTCTTACAAAAATTTACTTAAAAGGTATTGACAGCAGCTTTTCTATTTAATGGATTAAAATTTTAAGCAACATCTACGTGGCTTTACTTACCTATTTTGTTGACTATAATTTTTAAATTCCATTACAAAATATAAATTTTTTTAATAAAACAAGATTAAATTTAAATTTATTTCCCTTTATTCTCTGTATATTAACATATAATCCATTATATTTAGAAAACATCAGATTACATTGTAAAAATCAAGGTTTAAAAAGGACTTTACCCAGTGCTTTAAGTTCTGTTTCTTAGGAAAAACGCATTATTGCTAGAAAATATTAGTTTAAATACAGTGGTGTAATTTCTAGCAAAAGAACTTAAAGCAAGTCTAGGTGGATAATTAATTTTTTTAAATGCCTAAAGTCTTATGTTCTAGATTTTTTATTTGACATATTTTATAAGGCAACACACTGTATGGTCTTTTATGTTTTTTTAACATTTGCAATACAATGCCATACAAGAGATTTTAATTTTTGTGGTCAATAAATAAATTAACAATATGTATGTAATATTTTTATTAAAATGTTTATATTGGGGGAATGTTTTTTTTTGTTAATTTAACTACGGATATGTTACATTTGGTTCTTATTAAACAATGGGGACAAAACCATTTTGTAAATAAAATATATATTTTGAAATCTGTATAACCAAATTTAAACTAAATACACGGGAATTGTTTGTTTTTCCCTAATTATTTATTAAATTAAATTTGAATTTGATGCCGCTGATTGGTAGAGTTGTGCCGATAAATTGTTTAAAAAATACATAAATTTATGAAATGTATTTTAAAAATCCTATTTAATTTTCTATTTGAAATTCAAATTTTTATCTGTAGGTTGATATGATTCCACAATTTTAATATACATACTAAATCGTATGTGCGTTGCAACCCAAAATAAACAATTTAATAATTCGCGTTCTAAATACATATTTACAGTCATTAATTAAATTAACTTCTATAGAACTACAATTATTAACATAAATTATATTGTACATAAGTACCTTCTTTTATAGATTAAACAATTTGGTTTAAACATTTAAACAAAGAAAATACAGGGCATTATAGTCAACAAAAATACACTGTGAGGCATTTCCCAACCATGGTACAAGTGAAAAAGCAGCCACTAATAACTTTTGTTTTAAGTAAATGCCCCAAAATACTATTTCAATCTTGAAAATCAGATTATATCTGAACCCTGCATTCTATAAATAATTTATTTTTAAAATACACTGAAAAAATAATATATTTCTTGTTTTTCAGTGTTATAAATCTGTTTAAAAATATATTATTAAGCCTACTAATTCGTTTCTCAATTAGTGCTAAAAATACGCAACAATATGAAATGAACAAATATATGTATAATAAAAATGTCTTCAAAAAAATACGATTTTTTAGCTACATGTTTAAAGCGTAATTTACATTTTTTAACAATTCAATTTAATTTAATTAAAATCTTCTCGCGATAATTAGAAAAATTTTTCTTTTTACATTATAACAAAATATAGTTTATTTAACTATTTTGGCTTTATTTTGTAAAAAAACAATAATTAAGATTTTATGAAATTTGACAAAAAATATATGAAATTTACTACTAGACAGTAAATTTCACAAACCCTTGTAAATAATTCAGCTTGACCAGAAAATATTTCTATAAATTTTGAAAAAAGACAAAAAAAATTGATTTTTTGATTGTCATTTTTTCGTTACTGTGGTCAAGGTCAACATTTTCAAAATAAAGCCATTCTATATACAAAAAATAAACATTTCAAACAAAACTTACCTTAATTTGTTATCAAATCCTTTTCAAGGATACTTAACCTAAGTATGTACAAAAATTATTTATTGACCACACGACCATATCGCAATATCCAGAAATACAGGGTGTTTCAAAAGTGCTTTAATATCGAATTATACACCCAAAAAGGTAAAAAAATGTTTTTGTATTTCTAATGGTTGAAAAAGAACCATTGAATCACCCTGTGCAACCAAAAAATAATTAAAAAAAACAATGGAATAGAAATCAAATACATTTACAAGTTATTGTCCCTACCAATAAAATACGGAGTCCTTCATATCCTAAACAAAATAAAAATGATAAAAACCAACAATTTCATTGGCGAGGTCGCATGTGGCACACCAGCATCGACCGGTACAGTGTTGTCAGAGTGATCGTAACTTTTCGCTGTCGTTTGAGAAGAAATTCGACCCCTTTCGAAAAAATTTTTCGAGATGTCTTCTTCTTGTTCACGTTCCGCCGAACCGTATTGGTCGTTATAGTCGTCCTCGTCGAGTGGAACACCATAGCCCCCTGTGGGTCCTGGGATTTCTGCAGGACGACATTTAAAGATAATCGGACAAGTGGACAAAACACAACAACGTGACATGACAAGTGAAAACATAAAATCATAGGCGTCACGTAGGCACTGAATATATAAGAAACAGCGCAGCATAGAGCAGTTAGTCAAGCTTTGGTACTCGCGATTAAATAAATAAATATACGTGCAAATAAATAGAGTATTGATATATAAATAATTAGTAGTAGTTAAGTGTTTAGTTAGTTTTATAGTGTTTTAAGTGTAATTAGGTTATAAAATAAATCGTTTAGTTCGTTAATAAACCAGTGCGTGTTTTAATTCACACTGCGAACTGTAAAAACGTTACAAACTAAACTGGTTAATTTAATAAATCCAAAACTATTATTGAAAACAAATAAAATAAAGTAGCCTAAGTTATCTATTAAATGTTTTTCAGTGCAATCGATAAAATAAATAGTAAATATTCATGCGCGACCGCAAAAAATGGAAAGTAATCAAAAGCAGAAAATACACCTATAGCAAAAAAACAAAAGCCATAATGGACCATCGGTTTGTATCATGTTATTCTTGGATTCTAACAAAAACGTTAAATGTTTGTGTAAGAAAAAATAAAATACAAACGGACCAGGTCTGTTTGGATATTTTCAATGCAAGTCCAAATAAGCACTATCTTGTGTTTAACAAATATTAGAAATATTCCCCAACACCAAAATGTCATAAGACGTCATTTTGTCGCACAAGGACAATTTATAATAATGCGAAAAAAGGTCTTATGACATGAGTTCTTTATGCTATTTTATCTATTTTGCAAAAATTCTATAAAAAAAAAATAAATTTTATACCTTAAATTTGGTCGGATTTTACTTTAGATAGTTGGTATCACATTCATTGGTTTGACAGTTAATGTCAAAATCGATTCGCCATGCCGTCCTTAATTTACTTATTTACAATAGGCGGCTTTTAATGTTAAAGAAGAAAAAAAGGATTTTCTTTGGTGTTAAACAATCAAAATTTTTGGGTGGGATAAAGTATCTCATTAAAGCAGTGAAAGCGGTGTTATAATGAAGTCATTATAAACGCAAAATAGATAAAGTACTTTTCACCAACGATGTTGGCATCTTCAGAAGGGGGGGATATTTGTAATGTTTGTTTAACATATCACCAAAGTCACTTACCATATAATCTGATATTGCTCTCGACCTCTCCCAAAGAATTTTTGGCAATGCACCTATAAGAACCAGCATCTTCCCTTTGTAAATTTCGAACAGTCAAAGTCATCTTTACTTCGAAAGACGATCTACTCAAATCCTGGACATTGTACTTAACACTGGAAATGACCATTTCTCCTGTAACAAATGTCATCCCTTAAAAGAGAATTTATAAACAAGCTGTCACATAATTTTTAGATTTTAGAACCCCTGTCACCTATTGTCACAAAGTCTTGACCTCCCAAAAGTCACATAATCGTGTAACGTACTTTATGCCCGCCCCTTGAAAAATTAATAAATAAAATAATTTTGTTCAATTATTTATATTGTAAGGTCGTTTTTGTATTGAAAGCACGAAGCGTTATTGGTTTTACAAATATTTTAGTTTAAATGTATTTATTTTAATCAAAATATGATTTAAATTATGTCATTTTATATTACCTACATACCAACATTTGAGTGAGTGGCTTGTAACGATATAAAAAAGCAGAGGTTTAATTAAAAAAAATTATAATATTTTCAGTTGAAAATGAATATTGGCAGTGCTTTTAGAGCAGTTTAAAGTGATTAAAGATCCCAAATATGAACGTCGCAGAGCGGTCTATGAAAAAGTTGAGCACTTTGGTTTGGAAAAGTTTATGTTGTCACCTGTCGAAAATTCGAAAAATTTTATATTGAAAAATCGAAGTAATGGCACAATTATAGAACAAAGATTGAATTGGGTCAACCACTTCGTTTAGCATATCGAAGGGAAAGTGGTGATAAAGGGAAGCAGGGGGAGACCGCCAAGCAGCTCTAAACTTTGCTGTTTAATTCCATTATGTTATCCCGTTAATTCTTAATGTGTCACGTATCATCTCATGGATTTTGATATAAAGGAAACCCAGTGGCTTAAATCCTTCAAGCCAATCTTTTTCCTAATTGATCTTTCCTTAAATTTTATGCTACGCTGTCCTTTATCAATTTACCCCAACCCCTATGTTTCTAACCTATTTTTTTATAAATTAACTCGCGATTGTTTATTATAGTATATACTACAGAAAGACAAGACGAAGATACTGGACCTAATAGAATAGAGGGACCAGATTAGAAGAAGACGAAAACAGATAAAGACAATACTAAAGAAATACAAGACTAAAGAAAGACCCTTGTAAAAGATAAGATTGAAGAAATACAATGCTAGTCTTGACTAAATAGGCTAAACTTAGGAGACAAAAATAAAAAAGACAAGCCCATAGTTACTACTGTAGAGGAATACAAGATAATTTTTTTCCCCACAATGACAAACTAAAAAAAAAAGAAAAAGATCAGATAAGATAAAGACAAAGATCAAACACCAAAGAAAAACAAGGTTAAAGAAATACAAGGCAATACAAGAGAAAGGCAAGAATAAAGAAAAAGGCTAGATGTCTTTTGCCAGTCTAGATAAATACAGGGCTTAAGAATTACAAGATTAGAAAAAGAAGAGATACACTAATAAAAAAAGGCTAAAGAAATACAATACTATAGGCTAGGCTAGAGAGATAAGAATTAAAAAGGACAAGGCTATAGAAAAACAAGGCAAGAGAAAGACAATATTAGAGGAATTCAAGACAAAATATTTTTTTATCGCACCATGAAAAAGACCAAACAATATAAAGACAAGACTAGAGAAAAAAAGGTAAAATAAATACAAGACTATAAAAAGGCAATACTAGAGAAAGGCAAAACTGAAGACAGAGCCTTGTAAAATAGAAAAATAGAAAAAGACAAGGCCCAGTCTTAGACTAGACTATCAAACATTATATGACAAAACTAGACAGACAACACTAGAGACAGATCTAGACTAGAGGAATACTAGACTAGAAAGAGAGAAGAAAACAAACAAGGCTATCGATATATATATAGTAAAGGAATAAATAATTTTTTATCACACAATGAAAAACTAAATAAAAAAACCAGACTAGATAAAGACAAGACTGAAGAAAAAAAGGCTTAATAAATACAAGACTATAAAAAGGCAATACTAGAGAAAGGCAAGACTGAAGAAAAAACCTTGTTAAATAGGATATTAGAAAAAGGAGGCTAGACAAATACAAGACTAAAGAAAGACAAGACTAGAAAAAGACACTAGCTTTGTCTTTTTTTAGTCTTGTCCTTTTTATTGGCGTCTCTCTCTAGACTTGCCTTTCTTTAGTCTTGTATTTATCTAGCCTTCTCTTTTTTCAGTCTTCTATTTTAGTCTTGTCCCACGCAGCAACGAATCAATGTGAAATGTGAAATTTTTTTATTTTAAATTTTGATTTTTTTTGTACACAGATAGTCTAGACCAGGCTGAATTAGACTAGACTACCAAAAATTATATGACAGACAATACTAGAGAAAAATCTAGACTAGAGAAATACAAGACTAGTTAAATACAATAGTCAAGGGTAGACATAACATCTTTATTTTTCCAAATATCATATATAAAATAATTTTCCTCTTGTATTAAATTTAATAAATTTTTGGATATATAAAAGAATATGATCCCATTAAGAGTGCAATTAGTAGAATTAGAAGTGAAAAGGGAAAAAGGATTACTTACCAAAATTAAAACAATATTTATTTATAAGGGGTTTACACATGTGTTTACGGGATAAAACAACTACCTATCAAAAATTAGAATTTTCCGCAATTTCCCCTTTGATGTTTTTAATCATAATCATACTTCGTTTCTTCCCTCGTAAAGTAATTAACAAAATGCCATTGTGCGATAATTAGTTTTAACTTTTTTGATCTTATACAAACATTACGCGCTCTTTTTTGTTTGGTAAATTTTTAATCTTCCAAGGACTTTGTGTGGGAAAATATGACTAAGTTCATTAGTATTGCCTATTAAAAATTTAACCCTTAATTCGAAATTAATTTTTTTCACTAATTATTCAAAAATTAGCATAAACAATTAACCTTCTGGTTTTTATGGCTCGCAGTTTTATGGCGGATAATTTATTTGACAGAAATTCATTGTTAAGAGTGCATTATTATACTTTATGGCCCGCGGGAATTAAATCTTTATCTTGAATTGATTTTGAGATATTAAGAAAGAACAACAAAAGCCCATCGACAATTTTAAAGCTTTCTACGCCCTTAAATGCCAGACCAAACTTCAAACGAAGATGCTAAAGAAATTATTCGACAATTCATTTAGGGTCGATTAAAAAAATCCAGTTTTATGGTTACCCAATTTATTTTGTATAATATGAATATAATGCAAAACAAATAATGGTTTTACACATTAGACTAGATTAAAAATTTACTGTTAAAAGAAACTAGGTTACATTTTAAAAACCCAATTTGATTTGTAATTCTTTGTTTTAAACAAAAGATTTAAATAAAAATTGTTACCAAATGGTTTATTTCTAACAAAAATAAATCATATAAACAATAAACAATTATGAGTACGGTAGAGTAGCGAATATTCTACTGTTTTTATTATTTTATAATAATGCGGCTTATTTGTAATAACGCGGTGTAAAGCCGACAAAAGACAAAAGCGTGCCGCTCTTTAGGCGCGTGCCGAAAGCAAATTCGCTTCTATTTTTATGCCAAGGATATAAATTTATTTTATTTATTTTCTATAATACCAAAAGTAAACATTTGTGTTGTTTTTTGTAGTTTAAGTGATAAGACAATATTAATATAGGAAGCGCTTTAAGTTGGAAAAGTATACATCATCAATAAAATTTGGGTAATTGATTGATTTAGCAGACATTTTAATGCGTCTTAAAGATAAAATGAAGCGAGAGAAGGGCCAAAAAAATAAAGAGTATAATTTATATAATTCAGTTGAAAGGTCATCAGAACTATAATTCTTGTAATTGATTCTTGAATAGATTATCCTGACGGAGGTTTATAAATTTCCTTTCAACAGGATCATTTATCAAGTTAAATGCCCCGACTTAAAAGTGCATTTTTAATACGACCCCGTTAGTTTTATTTGTTTTGCATGGCCCTGCTTAGCGAACTCTAAAATTCCTTGTTCACAATAGTATTTAATTCTCATTATGTAAATTTTAACTTTTCCAAGAAAATATTGCAATTTACAATTCAATACTGTTTATGGGCGACTATATACATGCCTTCGCGACAATGGAGACTGTCACTCTTCCAAAACTGACTTTATAATTAAGTGTCAATGGAGAAAATTTAATTAAATTATTCGGGAAATACCAACACCTTTCTTCACACTTCTCTCTGTTTTTTTTCAATATACGAGGGCTGTACCCACCCCAACTCAATTCCTTTACTTTCCTTAAATTTATTTAAATTTGGCGGTACCATATTATATAACAAATTCACCAACATAATTTAATTTAATTTTTCTACTCCCACCTTTAAAACGCCCTTTATTGTACATGTTTCCATGACACTAAGTGACCTTTTAAATACACATTGACAAGTTGTGGCTTTATGGCGCTTTAGTCACGGGCTGAAGTTAGTTTTAAGTTAGTTTACAGTTGTCAAACAATCGTTAAAATAAAGTGCCTTTCTTGTAAAATAATACTAAATGTGAAAATTATTTTATTATCTCAATACAAAAATACAAAAGTATTAAATAGTTTCTCAACGCCAATATTTAAAAAGTTTATATGAACATTGTACTGACCTTTTAATTTCGCTGGCAGTAAACTATAACTTAAATTCGGGCACGGACTCCACTGTAAAGTGCTCATAAAACATTTTCTTTACTTTCACTGAGAAAAACTATCAATTTTCAAGAAATACATTTCGATTTATAACCTTTATAATTGTGTTTATAAAACGTAAAAATGTGACATTTGACGGTGACACACAGTTTCCCCTATTGTTTCATAGATGGCGCTCTATTCAAATTTTTGATTTAAATCATTTTAACCTCGTTTATAAACTTTTCTATGCACTCAATAATTTAAGCCTAAATTAGATTTGTGTATAAAATGGCGTTTATCAAACTTGTTACATAATATACTATTATTTTGGATATTAACTTAATGACCCTATTTCTTTTATAAATCCAAAAATCTGACTAGTTTATTGGAAATGTAAGCTAACAGGAAATGTAAGATATCAGAGAAACTAAAGGTAACAAGATATGTTACAATGGACTATAAACTTTACTGTTTGCATTTAGTGTTGTTTGGAAAACTTCCCTGTTTTACATTGATACTTACAAGCAATGTGAAATTTATTTTCCTAGGAAGAATTTTTTTTTATGTTCTGCTAATAACATGTATTATATTTTATATTGAGTAAAACCACAAATTTCATCAAATTAAACAGATTAAATAAATTAATATTTTCAAAATACACATTACATTTATGATTTCATATAAAACCCGTTTACAAGTTTATTTAGGAAGCTTTATTAATTCACGTTTGTAATAAAATACAAATAATTGTAAATTAAATTGCAAAACAAATTACAATAATATAGAACGCTTTTCCTAGTAAGCTGAGCGTTGTAAATTATTTATTTAATTTGGCCGAAATAACTTTAAATAGTTTTTTTTATTTATATTAAAATTAAATTAACTGAATTATTATTTATTATTATTAACTTCAATTTTAAATATCTATCTAAAAAAATGTGCCCCAATGTTGTTATATTTTCTAAAATTTGCAAAGAATTTGACGCAAAAATTCCTTTAAGCATGACTGTACATTCTTTATTTTTATACAAGGTGTTAATGGCGTAAATCTTTACGAGTGACTCAACATAGCGACATGGCCTTGCCTGAAGAAGATTCGGAATAATTTATTTTGCCTTTCGATAGGATTTGGAAAATTTACATCCACTACTTTCCTTCGAAACTTGTACATAATAGAAAAGTAAATAATCAATTCTTTTTAACTTTGGAATGTTCTTAAGAATTATTCTTATGTGTTAACACTAAAGTGATATTTTAAATTAGATAAAAAATATCATGTAAGAATTGTTATTTTTTTAAATAAGCAGATATTTTTAAATGAATTACATTTTTAATTCAGATTGAAAGTTTGGACACCCCTGGTATTCCAAATTAATTCTGTCGCTAGATGGCGGCGATATCCAAAATCAGTCTTAATGATATTTTTAATTAATTTAAAAATTTCTCCTATAATATTTTTAATTTTGCCACAGTTTTCAGATTTGTAATTTTGAATTATTTTTATGTGCAAATTTTAGAGTTCTATTTTTGAAATAATGTCTTGATATAAACTAGCTCTTAATTAGGAAATGTGGCGAAGTCAGTATAAAATGAAGCCTTCTTAAAATGAGAGGAAACTTTTGCGAGAAAGCAATTGTTGAACTAAGTCCAATAAGCACCATCTGATATCATACATTGTGACTTATAAGTGGCATATATTAAAATAATTAAGTTAAGTTTTCGGAGTGTGGAAGGAAGTTTACTAATAAGTTATGAATCAAGTTAAGACTTACCCGTATCTTTAACCCAATAGTTGATGGATTTCGGGAATGCCTCCACTTTGCATTCCAACGTAACGTCAGTGCCTAAAGGGGCCCCTACCAGTTGATTTGGCACTGATATTACCGGATAAACTGAAATTAAGTTTTTGACAAATACAATACAATGTTTTTTTTTACAAAACTATTATGTTTTATTTATGTACATAAAATATAGAAGGGCGTATTGATAAGTGAAAAACTGTCAAAAATTTAGATCAATATTCCACCATAAAGAACTGGTTTGCTGAGGTCCAATTGAGGCACCATCATCCCTGAAATCAGTCAGCAAAATTCTATTGGAAGATCAAAGGGTAAAAGTGTTTTACATATAAAAAGACAAAAATCATGATTCTTCCACTGAAAAATTCATGGAATTAGACTATTTGGCCCCTGTTACTTTTTCCATTTTCCAGAACTGAAACGATCATCGACTGGTAGATGTGCCTCAAAAATGAAGGAATGAAGAAGTTGGAATAACATTGGAATAAATTTATCCAGCTAATAGAAGTTTATGTTAAAAAATAAAACTTTTTATACTTAGTCAATGTGCTTTCTTACATGTCAACCATCAAACGATATGGACTTGATAAGAATTAAATTATGCTTTTGCTTTTAACAAGGCATTTAGACTGTTTAAGGCAAGTTTGAGGGTGAATTAGTCGTTAAATTAGGTAAGGTAATTGTGTACGCTCCAGTCAAATGATTTGGAAATTCGGTTCACATTACATTTGGCTAGTGGACCAAGTATCTGAACTGATAACTTATCCATTAGCTAGGAGCATTGCTCAGATTGTTCAAATTATCAAAATTAGTTATTAAATACTAAGTATATATTTTGATCACATTGTTACAGTATGAATAGCATTTTTAATGCTGTTTTGTGGAGGCTGTTAAATTTTTAAATTTGCATAATTAAAGGTGTTGGTTACTCTGTGCCATAAACTTGGAATTTATAAAAGTTGAATTATGCGAAGTTAAAATATCGAGATACGGCCTTTATTTATTATGATAAACCATTTTTTGATACTTACAATGAACATTAACCATAATTCTTTTACTGATTGTGGGTGGTATGCCATTTGATGCAATGCACATGTATGCTCCCATTTCAGATCTGGATATTTTCGAGAGAACCAAGTGTTCTCCTACATATGAAGTCACTGAAAAAAAAAAAGAATTTATAGTCGTAAAATTTGTGTTATGATGGCTAAAAATCCAACAAACACTGCCTCTATTGTACTATTGGATGTATTGTAATAAAATGCAAAATTAACATTGAAATCTCCACAATCTCCATAGTAGATCGCATGAAACAGTATTTAGACTAGATTAAAAATGGAATTAATCAAATTTTGAAGGATGGGGGGTGAGGTTGCATATCCTGTTAATAAAGGGCATTTTCTGTTCTGTCCAATTGAATTTAGGAAGGAGATATGGAATAAAATTTAATGGAGATTGATTACCGCTTTCTTCCTAATTTTTATCGAATATTAAAAGCGTAAATTAATATCGAAGATCTCTTATCGCAACTAATCGAGTTACTGGGAATTATATTGATTTTTGTTCATTCGATGGATTTCATTAAGTTTTAGTAAAATTATTTAAGGTAAAAAAGTATTCTTTCATCAACAGTTGAAAATTCGAATAAAATACTAATTATTAAAACATGGGATGCACTTTCTGTGTCCCGCTTTTGGCTTCATGAGAAATTTAAGCGGCGATGGACAAAAACGGCAAATTGCCGCATGCACAAAGAAAAGAAAATTACTCAATTATACTAATAACCAGATAATGGAAGTACTTTGTTTTTCATCTGTTAAAAACAGTGAATTTCATGTTGATGCAGTTTAAATTCAGTTTAAAGATAAGCTACTTGCATATTAAAAGGACAAAACATTTTAAATCAATTTATATATATAGACGTTTGGCATCTCAGAGGTTATGGTAACTCAGGTCTGCGTTGACCGAACGAATAGAATAAGAGTTCTTTCGTCTCAAATGAATAAAAGCAGTTTGCCATTCATAGTACATCAGTGTTTATTTAAAAAATATATCGTTGGCCACATTTGTTCATATTAAGCAGTGTACGTGTTAAAGCCGGTGGCAACAGTACACTGGAGAATTGTGAAACGTTCTTTTTGAATCTTACAATAGCTATTATTGTGCCACCCTAAGTATATTGCTTCTCAAAGATCAATGGCTCCCTATCGCAACAACAAAAAAATTCCCTTATCGATACGCCTCACCGATTTTCTTCTTCTAAAGGGTAAAATGCATGATTTCTCTGCCAATGGTCATCTTGATTTAAATTTACGTTTATCATGTTTTTTTTTAACCAGTATTGGGTTTTAGCAAAGCTCGCGCCATCTGGTGGATTTCAAAAGCATTGCGTGAATTTAAGAATTGTTAACAATACGAGGTGTGTTCAGAAAATAACGGGAATTGTTAAATTTCGCGGCTTCGGAGGGTCCGGTTGACATAAAATTTTCTTTATTATGTTGGTATACATGCCCCTAAAGTATGATAAAAACTTTGGCTGTTTTCATTGTTTACTTTGTCTGTGGCAGCCGCTAAGGTTAGACGTGTTTTATGAGCTCGGCGATTTTTCGTTCGTTAAAAGAAATGGATGAAAGAATTTGTATCCAATTTTGCTTAAAAAATGAAATAAATTCTGTGAAATGTTAACAAAGGCCTATAGTGAGTCTGCAATAAGTAAAACAAGAGTTTACAAGTGGTATAAGAGTTTCCAAGATGGCCGTGAAGACGTTGAAGATGACGAACGCCCCGAACGCACAAGCACATTAACAACCGATAAAAACATGGAAAAAATGGAAGAAATGGTTATAAACCTTCAGAGAAGTCGCTGATGATGTTGGTATATCGATTGGCTCATCCCATGAAATTTTTTCGAATGTTTTGGGTATGAAACGCGTGGCAGCAAAATTTGTTCCAAAATTGTTAAATTTTGAACAAAATTTTTGGCCAAAAACAATACTGTAATGATGCCCCAGCCTCCATATTCGCCAGACATGCCTCTGTCTGACTTTTTCCTATTCCCAAAAATAAAGAGAACCTTAAAGGGCCGTCGTTTTGCAAGCATAGATGACATTAAAAGCGCATCGCTGAAAGAACTAAAGGCTATCCCAAAGATCGAGTTTTAGAAGTGTTTCGAGTATTGGAAGAATAATCCCAATGGGGACTATTTTGAAGGCGACAACATTAATGTAGACGAATAAATAAATATTTGTTTCAAAAAACGAAAATTCCCGATATTAACACACCTCGTATTGTATCTAATAGATACAATTTATATTTACAGGGACTGTATAAAATTTATTTCTTCATTCGGATTAAAGTTTTTTTTCGATATTTTTTAACATAGGTTTTTAACTTTAAATATGATTATATCAAAATTAAACAAAATGTACTTTTAGGGTCCTTAAATAATGAATTTGTTTGTTGTTAAGTAAATAGGGACATTGTTAGAAGGACCATTTGATATATCTAGTTGTATTCTCATTGTTTTAAGATAGATGGTGCATAGAAAATTATTTGCATGATTTATCTCAAATTTTACGGAGACATTGAGCCTTTGATATTTTCCATGTTTAATGTTGTTTTGGACCAAACAAATTTGCCGCGCAAATTGATTTCTTCAGCACAAAGATACTTTGCGTATGTTCCAAACGGTTTTTCACGGTATTTTAGATTTTAAATAATATTTAACATACACCTGAATAACTTTAAAGTGAAAGTTGTCATATTTCCTTTACTCTTGTTTGAATTAGTATATTATAATTAAAAACAATAAAAAAAAACAAACAAAGCTAATTTATTTGATACCCTTTACAACTCTTGGCCATTAAAACATTAAAACACTCAAAATTGAATGAACAAGTCTCGGTGATATATTTAAAATTATTCAAAATATTCCGCGGAAACACTCTTAAAGCATTAATTCGGATTTGTTTCTAAACTTCCTTTTAGCGATTTAAAATTTTCGTACAACTTTTGTTTTCTCTAAGTCATTTAAAGGCGATAAACAAAATGGTTAGCTTTAATAAAATACTCGTATTTGTTAGCTAGGCCGAAATATAAAATTAATCCTTTAATAAAGTTTGAAGTTCGTTTTTTTATTAAAATCAAGCATATGCCGTGGTGACATAAACATAAAACAATTTTCATGAAATCAAACTAGAAATTATTTTATTTTTATTATAAATTGCAAATCATACACTGTTTAAAATATCTGTGGTGTGAAGAGTAATCTTAAAATGGTGTCAAAATCCAACACCAAGTGGTGTTAATATAATGTTTGAAAATGTTTTATACAGCAAACACCAAAACGGTGTTGATCTAAAAATATTTGAGAAGTGCACCTACACAGAAAAAAAGGAATAGTTCATTTAACTATATTAATTTAGTTGACCCAAGTATTTATTTAAATCAACTGTGGGAAGGTTAATATAAACAAAGATTAGTTTGACGGTACTAAACCAGATAGTTTTTTTTTAAATTGTATAAATTAACCCAGAAAACTTTAGTGAAACCAACCCGCTGTATGGTTCAGTTTACTAAATATGTTGTTTATAAAATAAGAGTTACTTCACCTAAAGCACTCTGTTAAAACGATTAAAACAATTTGCCGTGCATTCCTTGTTGCATAGTGTGTACCGATCGCGGCAAAGTGATGTTCTTAAATCTCGCCTCTGTTGACTTACATCAAGAGTATATAAGCTCAGGTAGTCCTTTGCTTTGGTGTGACACTACAAGTTGTTCGATACTAAAGAGACCTTAAATAGGTGGAAACAGCTGTCAATATTTGAAGTATTTTAAGTTAGTGGAACGCACTAAAAACATTATCTCTAGCGAGTTGAAGGTTCAATTTTCTGGAATAATACCACTGGTAATATACTTGTAATGCGTCAAGGAACTTCCTGTTTCCTTTTTTTCTATGTAGTATGATTTAATTTGACCAAAAACACATTATATTTAACACTTCAATTTACACCAGGTAAAATTTATTTTAATACCGTGTGAAAGTTAAATTTACACCATTTTAGTATTTGAATTAACACTGGACCAACGAACCATTTTGGGTTGTATCGATATAGACCATGTATTTTTAAAGGTAAAAACAATGCCAGATAGCACACAAAGCCTTGAAGATATCTTTTGTATGTCTGTATTATGCCTGAAAGTCTGAAGATCTAAAAAAGATGTCTGAAAGATGTCTTTTGATAGACGTCTTAAAGATATCTTCATTTAATGTTCTAAAGACATTTTATGAATGCCTGATACCGACGTTTATTTTTTTTTGAATTTTTTGATAAAATAGTGCTATCTGGGTAGGATAGGTCATTGACATCCAGTGACAATGACAATTTATTAAATGATTTTTTTTTGAAATTCTGTATAAAATACATGGTGTGGGAGCAACCCATTTATCCTGTCAAACATAATGTATACAAAAATAAAAAAGGACTTACTTCTGGTTTTTTGTCCCGACGGCTCCCTAATGACGATGTCAGAGCCGTCCTCCTTCCTCCATTGGACGTGGGGTTCGGGATGTCCCGTCGCACGGCAGGTTAGCTGAACGCGTCCTCCTTCGGGAACCATTACGTCTCCCGAAGTGTCCTCGGCAAAATCCGGAGGCACAGTTACATCGAGAAAACCAATCTGCGAAAATAATATCGAATACGTGTCCATACATTTCTTATTGAAAAATGTTTCAGACTGTGTGCAGCACACATGATTTTGACCCCCTTTTTGGTCTTTATTAAATAGTGTGTTAATTGCGACATTAAAATCGATTAAAAAGTTTTAAAAAGCAAACTAAAATAAATTAAAACTTTTGCATTTACCTTTCTTTTCATTTACGTTTTTTTATGTTTAAAGTCAAAGGAAAAAAATTATTTGTCTAGACCCGATTTTATGCTATCAAAAACTCGATATTAAATATTCCCTGAAATCAGTTTTTTTAAATATCGCACAACAAATAACTAAGTGAAATAGGGCAGAATATAATTGCAGTATAAATTTACTTTTTATTCAAGAACAGAACCTTTGCAAACACACTTGACAATATTTAAAGGATGTTGTTAGTCAGACTATTTTTATAGTGGATTTAAATTAAAGTCGTTTGATGTTTGTTTTTGTCTCATTGATTTTTATATTTAAAAAAATTAGCAAATAATATTCAACAATTTTAGTAATATTAAAATATCCCTTATTGAATATTATTATTTAATTACAACTTTAGGCTTTTAGTTATAGGCAACTGTTTATACAGTTGTGCGTTTTTGGTTTTATATTAATTATTATTTTTATAAAAATGTAATGATTGTATTGTAATAAGTGTGCAATATTGATAAGATTACAAATGAAATTAATTAACTCTTTACTCAACGTTTTACAGGGTTTTTGGTCAGAGGAATAGTGACCTTATAAATAAATAAGCCATAAAATGAACATGCTTGTGTTTTATTTAATTTTTATTTAAACAATTCCTGACAATAAGTAAGTATGATACCTTGAAAAGGGGTCTCCACCTTACAATATGTATATATTATATTAAAAAATGCAATTTTTTAAATCCATGGATGTCCGAGGTGTGTTCAGAAAATATCGGGAATTTTCGTTTTTTGAAACAAATATTTATTTATTCGTCTACATTAATGTTGTCGCCTTGGATATTATGCACATGTGCCAGCTCTTCTTCCAATACTCGAAACACTTCTAAAACTCGATCTTTGGGATAGCCTTAAGTTCTTTCAGCGATGCGCTTTTAATGTCATGTATGCTTGCAAAACGACGGCCCTTTAAGGTTCTCTTTATTTTTGGGAATAGGAAAAAGTCAGACAGAGGCATGTCTGGCGAATATGGATGCTGGGGCATCATTACAGTATTGTTTTTGGCCAAAAATGTTGTTCAAAATTTAACAATTTTAGAACAAATTTTGCTGCCACGCGTTTCATACCCAAAACTTCTCTGATGGTTTATAACCATTTCTTCCACTTTTTTCATGTTTTCATCGGTTGTTAATGCGCTTGTGCGTTCGGGACGTTCGTCATCTTCAACGTCTTCACGGCCATCTTGGAAACTCTTATACCACTTGTAAACTCTTGTTTTACTTATAGCAGACTCACTATAGGCCTTTGTTACCATTTCACAGAATTTATTTCATTTTTTAAGCAAAATTGGATACAAATTCTTTGATCCATTTCTTTTAACGAACGAAAAATCGCCGAGCTCATAAAACACGTCTAACCTTAGCGGCTGCCACAGACAAAGTAAACAATGAAAACAGCTAAAGTTTTTATCATACTTCAGGAGCATATATACCAACATCGTAACACCTCGTATGCTTACATTATTTAATTTTTCTTAAAGTTTGTAAAAAATTGAAGAAAAGTTACACGCCATTTTATAAAATAATAACTTAACAAATAAAACATAAAATTACCTAGGTGTAAAATGTAGGTAGGACACTAAATCTTTTAAAATAAATGAAAGCTTTTAGAAATTTGGGGGCATTAAACAAAAATTTTAGGTATAAAACCTTGTTTTTTCCACTGACTATATATGAGGTTTTAAAATGGGTTTTCTTGCTTAGTTCTGAGTATAAAAGTATTTTATATTAGTTAATGGTTGAATTATGATCTCTAAAATGTTTTGCTGGTGGTAGTTATTTTTGCTCGAGCATAAATTCATTTTCTGTCCTTATCCTTTGGATTAACTGCTTTTTATAAAATTATCTGTAAAATACAATGTTTTTAAATCAACTTAATGACTCTTCTTTCATGATTAAACTTCAGCAAAATATTTTAACGCCCGATTTTATAATGATACACTAAATACTTTTTAATTTAAAACCATTTTGTAATGTATAACAACGAAAATAAAGCTATTTTGTAAAATATCAATTCATTGTAAGTAAAAATCAACTTGTAAAAATGAAAACGAAAATGAGTGTAAAAATTTAACGCAGTGAAAACACAAATTAAACATCATTAAAGGTTCTATTGTTAAATTAAATTGCAAATATTTTGATGAAGTGATTGATTTAAAAATCAAATATATTTATCAAATATTGGGTATATTTGTAAATGCTTCGTTTAATTAAAAACTGATACTAAAAAAAGATACTTTCCATTAAATTGATTTTAACTTATGTTTGCGATCAACCAATCCATCACATTATTTATATAGGTTTAATTTAAAATCAGTCATGAAAAAAACTATTTTAAATTTTTACACAATTATTTTGCAAATTACTGTTAAACAAACTATTTTAATTTCTGCTCAAAACTTGGTGGAATGCCATTCCTAATTATAGTTTTGGAAATATTTTAATTTATATTAATCAATCATAACCAAGCATCCCACATATTCGTTAGTGTTGTTGATATTGATACCTAATTCTCATTTTCCCTATTAAATGTATACACAATACAGTGGCGGCTCACATGTTAAAATTATAATATAATTTCAAATGTTGAATACATTACTTATTTAAATATAAAACGTTATAAAACCAATTTCCAGTAAATTTGCGCTTCATATACGTCACACATTTCCGATACAACATCATGCTCCCCACCGCTGCACGGTGCCGCCGGCACCCCCGCAAGGCGGGGATAATACGCGAATTTTTGTAGACATTGAGGCCCACAAAGTTGGGCTTGTACCACGGTATATGGAAGACAGCAGAGTCAGTCCCGAGATCTGTGCGGCTCGCTTATCAGCCGTTGTAAAAGACTGGGCGGGGCGTGGAATGTTATAGTAAACAAAGCTTATTAATTAGATCTATGCGTGTTTATAGTTTCTTATTTCTGTTTAGTCTTCGCCTTAGCGTTAAAATGGAAAGTTGTGATAAAAATGCAAGCGTAAAATACATTATTGTGTTGTGAATGGTCACGAGCTGCCACTGACAAAATATCATGTTTATTTTAACCATAGGCCTCATAAAATGCAACAACGTGTTGCATATTAAATTTTCAGTGAAAATATCTTGCAAAAATTGGAAAACTCACTCTGTATTGTACAATTATATTCAAGTATGTGGAGACTTAACAATACATAATTCTCTTGTTATCTTTCAACATAAAAATGCAAACACAAACTTTTATTGTGGGCATATTTATTTTATAAAAGCGGACTTTCTATTAAAAAGTGGAACACTGAACTTATAAATACGCTTTGAAAGGGGCCTGATTATAATAATAAAATGCAGGTACGAGGCCATAAAAGTTGAGCTCTAAAAATTTAATTTTAATAGGCAAATGTTCGTCGGATCTTTAAAAAGTGCTTATTTATTAAAGGTACCATTTATATCGACCCTTTACAAAATAATATTCAGAATCAAGCTATTTCTGGCCGTGTTACCTGGAAACATCATATTTTAGCACGATAAAGGTGTTGTGCTTGTTGATCTGTTTACACCAGGTTTATTTAGCGGAAAACATCTATTTTGCACAGTGCCACAAATTTTAATAACATTTTAAAGCTTTGCAAGGTTAAATGTCTTTGATTTAGCTGTAATCATAACATTATACGAGGTGTGTATTATGTTGGTATACATGCCCCCGAAGTATGATAAAAACTTTAGCTGTTTTCATTGTTTACTTTGTCTGTGGCAGCCGCTAAGGTTAGACGTGTTTTATGAGCTCGGCGATTTTTCGTTCGTTAAAAGAAATGGATCAAAGATCCAATTTTGCTTAAAAAATTAAATAAATTCTGTGAAATGTTAACAAAGGCCTATAGTGAGCCTGCTATAAGTAAAACAAGAGTTTACAAGAGGTATAAGAGTTTCCAAGATGGCCGTGAAGACGTTGAAGATGACGAACGCCCCGAACGCACAAGCTCATTAACAACCGATAAAAACATGAAAAAAGTGGAAGAAATGGTTATAAACCATCAGAGAAGTCGCTGATGATGTTGGTATATCGATTGGCTCATCCCATGAAATTTTATAAATGTTTTGGCTATGAAACGCGTGGCAGCAAAATTTGTTTTAAAATTGTTAAATTTTGAACAAAATTTTTGGCCAAAAACAATAATGTAATGATGCCCCAGCCTCCATTTTCGCCAGACATGCCTCTGTCTGACTTTTTTCTATTCCCAAAAATAAAGAGAACCTTAAAGGGCCGTCGTTTTGCAAGCATAGATGACATTAAAAGCGTATCGCTGAAAGAACTAAAGGCTATTCCAAAGATCGAGTTTTAGAAGTGTTTCGAGTATTGGAAGAAGAGCTGGCACATGTGCATAATATTCAATGGAGACTATTTTGAAGGCGACAACATTAATGTAGACGAATAAATAAATATTTGTTTCAAAAAACGAAAATTCCCGATATTTTCTGAACACACCTCGTATGATACTACTATTAATGATTTTAAACCTTGACTGGTTTGGGGCGACATTTTGCGATTTTACTTTTTACTTGAACTCGTGGTAAGGTGCGCTTTATAAATTTTAAATAAGCCACTGTGTATACCTATCCTCTCAACATTTCCAGTGCTTAGGCAAACGCAAATGATTATTAATTCAATTAATATTTGAATGGGTTAATCTTAAACGGTGGCCATCACTATTAATTTTAAACCAAGAAGATTTTGTTCTATAAACCATTATTCAATAAATAATGGCAGAGTTGCCAGATGTCAGTTGGCTCAAAAAATCTTAACAATAGATATTGAAAATTTAGTTTTTCATTTTGGTTTGCCATCTAATTTGTAAGGGGTGTTTACTTGTTTGAACCCTTTGATTTAGGACTTGGTATATAATAAACTTAGTTTGTATTTGGAACTTCTCAGCCAAGGGTTAATTTATATCGAACGAAAATTCTCAGGTAACTCAACTCCAATGTATGGTTAACAAAACTCTTATTATTAAGTGTTTTTATTTTAATTAATTATATAACTTCTCAGCTGTATGAAACCATACAACTCTTTTAATTTCACTTTGAATTAAATATTTTTGTTTTCTCTTTTTTTTTTCGGTTTTTGGAAGGTTGGTAAGTGTATTGTTGAATGACATAATGAAATAAATAAATATTAATAAAGAATTATATGGGTGATTCTACAAAAGTTTGACAACTTTATGTCAATAGAGTTTAAGTACTTTTTAATATATTACTTTTTGATTTAGTTTAGTTTTATTCATTATTTCCTTTAACTGAACAAAAGGTTTAAATATTTTTGTCAGTTTTACAGTTAATAAATTAACTCAGGAGCCTTCGCCATTTTTGCAAAAATGGTGTATGCGCCGGGATTAATTTTTATTACTTATAACTGCCAAACATATTCGACTTTTTATCGTTGTACATAATTGACTATTGAATTTTAGTATTTGTTTATATGGGTGATTCTACAAAAGTTGGACAACTTGATGTCATCAGTCAATAGAGTAGGTATTTTAATATTTTTTGTAAATATTTCAGTATATTACAAAAGATCCAGGTTTTTATAACTTGTCCACGCAATTCTAATGTATTTTTTCCAAAGCAAGTTTGTATAAAAACATAATAAATATTCAAAACATCAGTACCTTGGCGTGTCACAACTCCTGAATCAAATATTTGAGTGATTTTATTTTAAAATATATTCAATTTATCTTAAATTTTTAAATTTCACTACAAACTATAAAACATTAAATAATGTATTTTTCATATTTTATCATAGATTCGAATAATAGCAATTTTTAAATTTTGATAATCTTTGTACTCACTTTTACCCGTCAGTTCTGTGTCCAATGTTAAAATTCAAAATTCCCGCGAAATATTGAAGTTTAAACGTTAAGTTCTCGTTTTTACTCAAGTGTTGGTAAAAAATTACCTACAGAGCCCGCCCTTTGCACGACAGTCATCTTGAAAACAATGCAAGCGGCGAAATTGTGGTGAATGCACGTATAGTTTCAGTCTAAATGTCTGTACTGTGGTGAGTAGTTATTTTCTTACGTATATATATTTCGTTGTAATTTATATAAGGCTATATGTGATTTGTTGATAAGTAGCATCCACTAATAAAAAATATCAGTAAAATACTTAATTCCGAATATGGTATACTCGTCACTTCCCTTGCATTCAAATTTAGAAAACACAGATATTTCAGAAACTGTTTGAAAAAGTTACTGGCCCGGTCTGGAACAGTATATTTATTATATTATCTATGTTTTCATAAAAAAATACTGTTTAATTTTCTTCGAAAACTATATAAACAAAATGAGGTCAAAAGAATAGTATGTTATTATTGCAAAACAGATTAGATGTTATTTAAATGATAGTTTGAGTGTATCTAGTATATAACTATATATTATGGCAATTGTAAAATGACTTGCTATTGGCTAAATGGCGTTTTGAATTAATGTTAATGTTATTTCGGTGAACAATGTGTATATCCCCAGTGAGTTGTTTTCGTTAATCGAACAATTGGACCATATAAAATTCAAACTAGACACTAACTGTCTAAATTACAAATTAACTGCTGCCTTCAGGATATTAACAACCAGCCCATAATCCTGTGGGGACAATCTGTTTTTTAATAAGTCACATTTTTTAAAACACCACACAAATATATACGATATGTGTGCGGTAGAATCAAAAAGCAACAATATGAGATGTTGAATTAAAAAATTGGGTTTTTATAGATTTTACTACCTCATTTCATGATATAAATGCATATATATTTTTATTGTTCCTTGTTGATATTTGGGTGTATTTGGTGTACAAATATGAATCGTATTATTTTAAATTACATAAAGAATTATTTAAGGTATGCTGTGCAAATGCCTGGCAGTCATTGAAACGCAATGTTATAATTTTTGTTTTCATTCAAATTTTACGTGTATTTGCATTTCTATGCCTATATTTTCTTTTAATAAAACCAGAAATCTTCATTTCATACATCTCCTCTGAGAAAGGACATCTGCAAAGCAGAAAAATATTCATTTGAAATTTATATTGTTTCTGAAAGACCGTGCTACTAAATTGCTTTATTATAATTTATATGTAATAGTCGGCCCGATTAAATATTCTTTTTAAAATAGAAAGGGGGACGAAATAATGCTTTTTTCCCTTTTAATCCATGTAAAGTCGATATGCTATATAGTTCACGCCAAAGTTAGCAAGTAAGCATTAGGCAATTGTTTGAACCATAAGAACTTATTTGATGACACCCTATACCACATATTAAATAAAGTGAAGAAATTTCTTAATTTGCAAGTAAGAGAGAGACGAATGTATTGTGATTAATTGTTCTTTGTCTATTTCTCTTTTGCATTGGCTATATGAAATTACGAAATTTTCGACACTATACTTTAATATACGAGGTGTGTTCAGAAAATAACGGGAACTGTTAAATTTCGCGGGTTCGGAGGGTCCGGTTGTCATAAAATTGTCTTAATTATGTTGGTATACATGCCCCCGAAGTATGATAAAAACTTTAGCTGCTTTCATCGTTTACTTTGTCTATGGCAGCCGCTAAGGTTAGACGTGTTTTATGAGCTCGGCGATTTTCGTTCGTTAAATGAAATGGATCAAACAAATTTGTATCCAATTTTGCTTAAAAAAATGAAATAAATTCTGTGAAATGTTAACAAAGGCCTATAGTGAGTCTGCTATAAGTAAAAAAAGAGTTTACAAGTGGTATAAGAGTTTCTAAGATGACCGTGAAGACGTTGAAGATGACGAACGCCCCGAACGCACAAGCACATTAACAACCGATAAAAACATGAAAAAAGTGGAAGAAATGGTTATAAACCATCAGAGAAGTCGCTGATGATGTTGGTATATCGATTAGCTCATCCCATGAAATTTTTTCGAATGTTTTGGGTATGAAACGCGTGGCAGCAAAATTTGTTCCAAAATTGTTAAATTTTGAACAAAATTTTTGGCCAAAAACAATACTGTAATGATGCCCCAGCCTCCCTATTCGCCAGACATGCCTCTGTCTGACTTTTTTCCATTCCCAAAAATAAAGAGAACCTTAAAGGGCCGGCGTTTTGCAAGCATAGATGACATTAAAAGGGCATCGCTGAAAGAACTAAAGGCTATCCCAAAGATCGAGTTTTAGAAGTGTTTCGAGTATTGGAAGAAGAGCTGGCACAAGTGCATAATATCTAATGGGGAATATTTTGAAGGCGACAATATTAATGTAGACGAATAAATAAATATTTTTTTCAAAAAATATTTTTTAAACACACCTCTTACATATAAATATATTGTTTATAGGCACATACCTGACTTTTCATCGGGTCAGTGTTGATCTGACACATATACAATCCTCTGTCTTCTTCCTGTACAGTTTTTATATGCAGGTTCCAAGTGACGTGGTCATTATGAGTAACCGACACTCTTGAATTGTGGGTAATCACATGGTCATGTATTGCCTGGATTGCTTTTGTATCTGCCTTTACCCAGCCCACCTGGAACGATTTTAAACATGTTTAGAAAAATAATAAATACCCCAAATTTTTTTTACATTTAAATGTAAGAACTAATACAAAAATGTCACCCTCTAAAAGTTTGACATTAACATGTATATATTTTAGATAAACTTTTTATTTTCAATTTGAAAGAGCATAAATAAAAAAGGAAATCTTGTTCAGTGGATACAGTATAACACACTGTAAAACCAAGCATTCAATATATATATATATATATATATATATTGATATTTCATTTATTTATCCTTTAAGTCCTTTTGCGGCTTATCGTCAGCTTTTGAACAGATGTTTCAACGTACCTTAGGAGAATATCAAGTAGTATACACTAGACTCTTTTGTTTTTCCCTACCGTTATCTACACGAGAGCTTAATAATTATTTTTGGTTGAAAATTAAATAAGCATTTACAAATTGTGTTTTTTAGGGTCTATACTGAGATCTTTTTTAATATATATCACTCGCTTTACCCCTTCGCCCAACAGTCACAACCCCTAAAATTTTAATGGAGCACCTCATTTAAAAGTTCTTGCTCCACCAACAAAACTTGTTTGGGCAGGTTTGTTCGAAGATTTTACAAAAAAACTGTATTTTTAAATAATAGAACATGTAGTTTATTTTATTAGTTTACTACGAGAATGTTAATTTATTTAATAAACCTACTTGGGATATTTGCCAAGTGTAAACTGCACCAAAAATCTCCTAAATTAAACCATTTTCTAACAAAATACAATTTAACAGTAAAATGTTTTTTTGTTCGCTACTGATCTTGTTTTTCGGAATTTTTTATTTACGTGCCTATCCGAATGCCGTTCATTGAATAAATCTGCTGCACGACTTATTTATAAAAAAAGGGTGATCATTTAAACTCTCTCCGCAATGCTCCAAATAGGGTTTCTGTCGAGAATTCTTGGGAATTACTTTAATTTTAAATTAGCCAATATCGACCAGTAAAGGATAAACCACATCTTCTAGTTATTCCAAATACGATTCTCCTGTCAGGTTACCATAAAGAAAAATGGGCCAAATCAGACGATCTTCGAAAATACCTACTGGGCGTATATCAACGGCCCGGCGAATCCGGGAAAGGCTATTTCATTCATTGAATAAATCTGCTGCACGATGTCTGCACATTATTTATAAAAAAAGGTGATCATTTCAATCCTGAGGATTCTTGGGAATTCCTATAATTTTAAATTAGCCAATATCGACCAGTAAAGGATAAACCACATCTTCTAGTTATTCCAAATACGATTCTCCCATCAGGTTACCATAAAGAAAAATGGGCCAAATCAGACGATCTTTGAAAATACCTACTGGGCGTATAGCAACGGCCCGGCGAATCCGGGAAAGGCTATCATGCTCAATAGTCACAACCCCTAAAATTTTAATGGAGCACCTCATTTGTTTGTTCAAAGATTTTACAAAAAAACTGTATTTTTAAATAATAGAACATGTAGTTTATGCCATACTGGTCTATATTGTTAAAAACGATACCTACTACTTGGATTTATTGTTTCAACAAGATGGAGCGCCCTAACAATATGCAATGCGTATTAGAAAGTTTTTGGACCAAGTGTTCCTGGACAATGAATCGGACGAAGAGGAGCTCTGGATTGGTCGGCCATATTTGACTCCTTTGATTTTTTAAGTGGGGTCATTTGGTAAAGTAAGATTCAAGCAACAAGAGTTGCGACAACTTATCGTGGATGAATACCATCAAATAACAAAATGTTGGAAAATGTTGGAAAATCTCGAAAACAAATCAAGAGAATTTGACTATTCTTTTGATAATACTTAGTGGAGCAAGACCTTTCAAATCAGGGTTGGTTTTATATATTTACTGAAGGAGGTGAAAACAGAAAAATCACTTGTGTAGGGAAATCAGTTCAGTAACAGTATAGCATTTTCATTTTGTTATACTTATGTTTAACAAGAAAAAGTAGTTGGACGTCTTTGTGGGGGTTAGGAGCACATTGGAGGCAATGCGGGGGGAGGTAGGGCCATCGGTCACGGCACGACCTATACTTCGCAGCTGTGTGTATTATAAATGATCTCAAGTTTGTGGCGCTTTTCGGCGATTTGTCATATCTGCACTATTATTAGATCCGTCGTGCCTTTGCTCTGCTGTTCCTTCTCTCTTCATCAATCTGGACAGAAATGATGGGGCACAGATGCTTACGGCTCCTCTCAGGCTCTCGCCGTTTCTGTTTGTCCTCCCGTCCCTTCAAAAACTGACCCGTTTGTTCGCCAACCGAACGACTGGCGTGTTTACAAACTAAAAGCACCCCGTTTTATTGACCCTTTATCATTATTCATATGAACGAAGGTACATATGCTTAAATCCTTCCAATAAATTTTATCAAAAACGACAATCTCTTTTCTAACTTTCCTGATCTAATCATCGTCAAAAACATACTTAAGATAAATTTAACTGTCCTTAAAATACCTATACAAATTTCATCTTGTTTAAAAGTGGTCGATATGGAATACCAGATAAAATTAAACAACATAAGCCTTGAGGTTGTTTTAATTGGCTGATGTCCTATGTTCTGTTCTCTAATGACCATGCAACATGATTATTGCTATACAAATGTCAATTTTAATTAACATCCTGCTTGAAATACCTGAATTACACATACAGGGTGTCTATTTAAAACGAGCAATGCTATATGGGTGATTCTACAAAAGTTGGACAACTTGATGTCATCAGTCAATAGAGTAGGTATTTTTTGTAAATATTTTAGTATATTACAAAAGATTCAGATTTTTTAACTTGTCCACCCAATTTTAATGTATTTTTTCAAAAGCACGTTTGTAGAAAAACATAATAAATATCTTTGTACTCACTTTTACCCTTCAGTTCTATATCCAATGTTAAAATTCAAAATTCCTGCTAAATATTGAAGTTTAAACGTAAAGTCCTCGTTTTAACTCAAGTGTTGGTAAAAAATTACCTACAGATCTTGAAAACAATGCAAGGGGCGAAGTTGTGGTGAATTCACGTATAGTTCCAGTCAAAATTTCAGTACTGTGGTGAGTAGTTATTTTCTTACGTTTATATATTTTATTGTAATTTATATAAGGCTATATGTGATTTGTTGATAAGTAGCATTCACTTATAAAAAATATCAGTAAAATACTTAATTCCGAATTATAATCTCAAATTTGTATCCAATTCATCAGTACTGTGTCGTCAGTTACCTTTTTTTAGCAAACTTCAATTTAAATTCTGCTTGCGTAGAAATTGTTTATTAATTGTCATTATAAACTCAAATAAATTTGGTGTGGGTACCATATCTAATAATTGAGATATCGGTATACCCAAAATCCACCAGCCGCCACTGATGTGTGGTATTATTTGATTTTAAGACATTTAATGTACAATATGCTCAAAGTTGCAATAAATCTTATATTTTCCAATAAATTATGGATTTAATTAGTACCCTGGTATACTCGTCACTTCCCTTGCATTCAAATTTAGAAAACACAGATATTTCGGAAACTGTTTAAAAAAGTGACTGGCCAGGTCTGGAACAGTATATTTATTATATTATCTATGTTCTCAAAACAAAATACTGTTTAATTTTCTCCGAAAATTATATAAACAAAATGAGGTCAAAAGTTGCCCAACTTTTGTAGAATCACCCATATAAGTCTGGACCTTAATTTTGTAAGATCTCTTGATTTTGTCAATATAAAACTGTGGAAATTATTAGTGGACTGGATCCTAGAATTATCGTGAACTGAAATATTTAAATTTACAAAAAAATGCATTTAAACAATAAATTAGAAACGTGCCAAACAAGAAATTTTAGTACAAGTTCATTAAACAGATTAATAAATACATCAATTTAATCTGTATACATTTTATAATGTCTTAATACTTTAAAATTCATTTATATCGCGTATTATTGTTTTAGTTTGTTTATTTTATGTAATTGTGTAATTTGTAAATAAATAAGTAAAAAATTATGTTGTTAAATTGACTAAAATAGTATTCGTATCAAGTCAAAAATTAGGTTTAGTTACACTTGTTGGTGAATATTTATAATATTGTTTTAATAAATCACCAAAGTTATTAAGGGTGGGTAGTTTCTAATGGAAAGCCCTGTATATTACCTACCATTAAAAAAACAATTTTTAGAAATTATCATATATTAGGAAAAGTCAAAAAGGTGGTTGTAGGTACGAGATAAATAAATAAAAAGGGCAACTTTAATGTTTGTTAAATAGGGTAAGTGAACGTTTAGGTCAGTGTAGCTTATGTCTGATTTCCATTTGACTCAGTTTCACTAGTTCGGTCCCAATGCGGATCTCTTATTATGCGGACAAATTTGCCAATATGCCGCTGAACTTGTAACAAACGTCAAACACATAAAAACCGGTCAAACAGATTATCTAGTCCAATCCTTAAACTTAATATTCTTCTCTATTGTGGTTATAGACTTAAAAAAAGGATTTTGAGCCCTTTTATAGGATTTTAAAAATTAAAAAAGGATTTTCTTTGCAATCATACGGGACTTTTAAATGTTTTTTAAAAGGAAAGTGTGTTTTATTCAACAGGATAAATAAAACAACCATTTGGACTAATCTTTTAATTGGTAGAAATTTGGCACCCTTAAGAGAAAAGTAAATATTAGTGTTTTTATAAAAAAAAAGAAACCTAATACACACACTAAATCTTATTCTGTTGTTCATTTTACTAAACGAAAACTGTAACAAAATTTTTAATTAAACATGAAATAGGTAAATGTATTCAAGCAGGTAATAGCAATTGTAATAAATATTTTTAATTTACGAGAATGTTAATTTATTTAATAGACCTACTTGGGATTTTTGCCAAGTGTAAACTGCACCAAAAATCTCCTAAATTAAACAATTTTCTAACAAAATACAATTTAACAGTAAAATGTTTTTTTGGAATTTTTTATTTACGTGCCTATCCGAATGCTGTTCATTGAATAAATCTGTTGCACGACTTCCGCACATTATTTATAAAAAAAGGGTGATCATTTCAACTCTTTCTAAATAGGGTTTCTGTCCCGAGAATTCTTGGGAATTACTTTAATTTTAAATTAGCCAATATCGACCAGTAAAGGATAAACTACATCTTCTAGTTATTCCAAATACGATTCTCCTGTCAGGTTACCATAAAGAAAAATGGGCCAAATCAGACGATCTTCGAAAATACCTACTGGGCGTATAGCAACGGCCCGGCGAATCCGGGAAAGGCTATCATGCCTTTATATTTAGGGGTGAAATATATTGAAAAAAATTAAAAAATGTCTGCTTACTACCTGAAAACGTTTTTATTGTGCTACCCTGTATAAGGTAATAAATTTACATTCTAATAATCCCAACAATAGCAATAGCATTTGCACATACTTAAAATACTATAATATTATAAAAATTGTTTAAAAACTAAATAATTAAATAAAGTAGCGAATATGTTACCAAGAAATACGTTATTTACTAGGGCATGCAACAGGTAGATGAGATTTAAAGGACCCTTATGAAGTCAATTTGTCAAAACCAGAGCTTTTAGTCCAGATATATCCTTTAGCTTTAGCTTTCGATCTGTTGTTTATTTTGCGCAAATTAAATTTATCTTCAATCATTTTTTTGTTCAAAATTGTATTCTAATGGTTATTCATTAAACAGACGATAATCACCTGGATAGTGCAAATATAACTTAATAAATCAAATCAAATTCGTACACCAAACATTTAGTTGTGCACCAAGTCAGCAATGTTATATTAAACGGACTATGGAAGTTTATGAAATTCTTGATAACTAGCTGCCACTTAAGCTGGAACTAAATGTTGTCTGTCTAAGTGTTTTTAGCCATAGATTCGAGTTGCAAGTTTAATAAGATTAGAATAGGGACTTGTATCTTAATACCGCTTGCATAATATCTACCTAGTCAAAGTTGGGTTAAGTTTACGAATTGACGGAAGAGAATCGATATTAATGATGGATTTGGCTTACCCTGTATCCACCCAGATGATGAACATGACATCTAAAGGTGGCTTCTCGACCCAAAGGTATCGAGAGATTCACAATTGGGTCTGCGAATTCTGGTTGAAAAGCGCCACCTGCAATAAATAAAAAAAAATATAGGTATAATGATTAAAATAATTTAATATAATCTTGTACTTATTTTTAGTTTCTTATTTCCTTTCATAGCGGATTTATAAAAGCAAAGTTTGGAATAAATGAGAAAAATTTACATTTGCTATTTGGTATCATATTAAAAGAACATTTCCAATTGCATAAAAATTTAATAGGAATAAAACTTTTTGCTCAACTTTTAACAGTAAATAAAGCAAAACTTTGAATAAGTTGCTGAATTACCCACCGGCCATGAAAGATTTCTTATTACACACCAAAAGCGCCATTTTATGTTAATATGTCCATTGCGTAGGAAAAAATTGTCCTTTGGTGACAAGATATTCCAAACCGTAAAGCAAATACAGTCGTGGAAAGCAAAATAAAAACTGGATTAAATTTTAAATACATATGGTTCAAAATGATGAAACCCTTGAAGTATAAATGTCTGTTGTGATAATCAGATTTAGCTCTTAGTTAAATATAAATTTGGCAAACATAAAATCTTAACCAACTGCAAATTATCCCGACGATATTATTTTATGTCAACTTCTAACTTTCTAAAACTAAGTTGAAAGTAAAGACGATATCTTTCCGTTTATGCTAATACAATTTTGACGGGGTTATCGTAATTATTTATATACACTAATTACACTTAAAATATCAAAATTAATTTTAATTCCACTGCGCTTAAGTAGTTTTGTTTGTTTGTTTTGAATGTGTTCGTAAAGTAAAAAACATTTTTTTCAATTTTTAAATTGTTTAGTAATAAAGTCGAAGTAAATCTTCATTTAAACATATCCGTATTATTAGGCCAAACTTTAAACATTTCATATAGTTTCAGAGTTCATTAGAACTAAAAAATTATGTAGCTTGAAATTCGGATTTTCTCGAACAAACTTGATACTTAATTTCGCAGCTTCTTATCTTTATTACTCGACAAAAAAAACTAATTTAATTTCTTGTTAGTTCACAAGATCGCACAACTACTTACATACAGCTAAATTTAAACATGGTTGCGCGCGTACGTCATCAACGTTTAATGACGTCTTATTGTCACATTTATCAAATTTGTCAGTGTTTTACTAAAAAACCTTAACAATAAGCTTTGTTCAATTTAAAAATTCTCTGTCGAGTGATCTCATTTCATAAAAAATGTGAAATTAGTTTGAATCATTTTTATTGTATTTTAAAAATGCATCCGAGTTTAATTATCACCTAGCAAAAGTGAGTGGGCGACTGAAATCTTCAGAGAAAAGGTCGAATGCTACCATGATGCGTCAGCTATTATATTTATACAAAACCTTATTTAAAGCCCAAATATATAATTAAAAATCTGTTTTCCTCTGTAAAAAATGTATCAATGATCCTATATTTATCAAACATACGATGAGTGCTTACCTGGTTTTTGACATTAAGGTCAATTATAAATGGGTGATTCTACAAAAGTTGGGCAACTTTTGACCTCATTTTGTTTATATAGTTTTCGGAGAAAATTAAACAGTATTTTGTTATGAGAACATAGATAATATAATAAATATACTGTTCCAGACCGGGCCAGTCACTTTTTCAAACAGTTTCTGAAATATTTTTTTCTACATTTGAATGCAAGGGAAGTGACAAGTATATCAGAGTACTAATTAAATACATAATTTATTGGAAAATATAAGATTTATTGCAACTACCAAATTTATATGAGTTTATAATGATATTAAATAAACAAGTTCTGCGAAAGCAGAATTTAAATTGAAGTTTACGAAAAAAAGATAACCGAAACATCGAACATGGAACTGACGACACAGTACTGATGAAGTACTGATACAAATTTGATATTATAATTCGGAATTAAGTATTTTACTGATATTTTTTATTAGTGGATGCTACTTATCAACAAATCACATATAGCCTTATATAAATTACAATGAAATATATATATATATAAGAAAATAACTACTCACCACAGTACTGGAACTATACGTGCATTCACCACAACTTCGCCACTTGCATTGTTTTCAAGATGACTGTCGTGCAAAGGGCGGGCTCTGTAGGTAATTTTTTACCAACACTTGAGTTAAAACGAGGACTTGACGTTTAAACTTCAATATTGCGCAGGAATTTTGAATTTTAACATTGAACATAGAACTGACGGGTAAAAGTGAGTACAAAGATTATCAATTTTTTAAAAATTGCTATTATTTGAATCTATGATAAAATATGGAAAATACATTATTTAATGTTTTATAGTTTGTAGTGAAATTGAAAAATTTAAGATAAATTGAATATATTTTAAAATAAAATCACTCAGTAGTTGTGACACGCCAAGGTACTGATGTTTTGAATGTTTTTCTACAAACGTGCTTTTGAAAAAATACATTAAAATTAGGTGAACAAGTTAAAAAAACCTGGATCTTTTGTAATATACTAAATAATTAGTTAGTGTATTTTTGGAAGATTAATAAAAAAATGTGTTTGTATGAATAACATTTTAAGGCCTATAAATAAGGCAATAAAAAAGCGTTAAATCTTGGTTATTATGTAAATAATCGTATGAAAGTAAAATATGTATATTAAAATTTTGTCATTTTGGATTTGCGTTAAACTTTTCAATCGTATTTTAATATGAATTTGCATGTTTTTGATAATCCCTTCTGCTAGAAAAAGAATATCGAAAGAGGAGAAGAGTCTTGTGTGCAATGCCGGCCTAACGACAAACTGTTTTTAACTTAACTTTTAATAAGTTAAAGGATTAGCCTAAAGCCCTTAGCGTCTGAGCTTTTTCTATTTAAGATGTCAGCCAATCAAAAAACAGATCCACTCATAATTTTACTTCGATCAATGATCTTAACATTTCTTTCAATTTAAATAATCATCCATAATGTATTAATTTTATCAACCAGTTTTAGTAAAAATAAAATAGTTTATGTTGTTTCCTTGTCCAACAAATATTGATATTGATCGTGAAAAAAGTTTGGGTAAAGTAATTAATTTCTGCATGTATTTTAAAGTTTTGATGGATGGTTAGAATAGCTGGCAGTTTAGCAAATTTGACTATAAACTATTCGTAATATGTGGAAAATGGATTTAATACATCACACTGTGTCCAAGAATATGATTTTATGTCATGCATCACAAGATCCTATTTAATTAGAATAATACAATAGTTTTTCCTCATTTTTTATGGGCCGCCACTGGTTATCGAGGTTTTTGTGGTTTTCCCGTCGATTTTAAATTTCACCTTTCACTTTTACGTCGATTGTTGATCATGTAGCTATTTTTTAAGTGTTCCACAAAATCATAATAAATCCCGCTACAGCGGCGTAGAAAATTATAATGTGTCGCTCTTGCCATCATATCCGGATGGATTATGGATTTCATCTGCCGCTGCAGTGACAAGTTCGCAGAGGTGTTCTAATGTGTCAACTTTGCTCTGGTACACTAAACTGTTCATGTATCCCCAGAGAAACCACAATTCATTTAATAAAGTAGATAAAAATAAATTGTCACTTTTACCCCTGGATTTTTCGCCCGGTATATTCGTCCTGGGAGACTAGTAAACATATTTTCGCAGCCACTGATCCATGCATAAAATTTATCAAAAATATAAGCTTATAAGTGAGTGAAAAGTCATTAAGTTTAAAAGGATAAAATATCTTGAAGTAAAAATTATCTCTTATCTTAAAATTTGTTAATTTACATCGTATTATCCTTAAAATGTGACTAATTCTTTTTTATTATAAAAATATAGCCTTTTGATAAGTTAATTCTGCAATCTTCATAAAATACGAAGGATTTTTTTATTATCAAGATTTACATCACAAAGTTTTGTATTGAATAATCTCCTACCATTTGTTAGATGTTTCTGAATATTTTAAGTTGTCACTTTGATGAAAAAAAAACCTATTTTAGTATTTTAAATGTCTAGCCTTTCCGCCTAGTCTTAACCAGCTAAAATATATTTAATTTTGTAAAACATAGAGTGAATTTGGGGCCTGGTATACAAAACTTTGTGTAATGAAACTTTAGTTAAATTAATCATGTACCACTTGTGCTTAAAATTTATTGACTTCATTGGCCAATATATTATCCCCAACCGTCCCCTTACAAGTTTATGCTTCATAAAAACTTATATCCAAATAACTCCAATAAGCTCCAAGTTAAATCATGGCATGTTATTATTTAATAATAATAATAATTATTAGAATTGAAATCAATTACTAATGTTAATTCTTCACATGATGTTCAAAGAATTTGAATAATTTTATTAAAAATTTTTAAGCGAAAATTAACCATAAAGGGCGTGTTATATATAATACATTTTCCACCCTCGAATAGGGTGAGTGACATACTTAAGGGGAGAGTTGATCATAAATAATAATGCGGTTAGGTCTTTATTAAAAGTGCTTACTGTACTAAAAAAGTATATAGGTCATAGAATCAAAAATAACAATGCAGCATGACATAAAAAGTTTAATTAAATAATAGTATATTATGTATCAAGTTTTATAAACGCCATTTTAGTTACGAGTTTAATTTAATGAGAAAAGAAAAGTTTATAAACGAGACCTAAAAATTACTTACTTATAATATTAAAATAACTTAAAAATATGTTTATGTCCACCCAATTTAAATGTATTTTTTCAAAAGCACGTTTGTAAAAAAACATAATAAATATTCAAATCATCAGTACCTTGGCGTGTCACAACTCCTGTCAAACATTAAATAATATATTTTTCATATTTTATCATAGATTCGAATAATAACAATTTTTAAAAAATTGATAATTTTTGTACTCACTTTTACGCGTCAGTTCTGTGTCCAATGTTAAAATTCAAAATTCCTGCAAAATATTGAAGTTTAAACGTCAAGTCCTCGTTTTAACTCAAGTGTTGGTAAAAAATTACCTATCGAGCCCGCCCTTTGCACGACAGTCATCTTGAAAACAATGCAAGCGGCGAAGTTGTGGTGAATGCACGTATAGTTCCAGTCA